ACTGTTGTAGGTCAAATGGGTGAACTGCCAGTGTTTTATCACATATCATTTTATCACATATATTTTACTCTATATTATTCTCGTGGAACAGAAAACTTTATTACTTTCTAGTAGGGGTGCAAACCGAGTGGTACTATTTGCGTAATCCTCCAAACAATCAATCAATGTGCGTTGCAGATAATTTGCAGCTGCCCCTTCGTACTTAATGCTTAGTCTAGTGCAAAAATTAGTTATTTGAAAGACCATGGTCATTTAGAGACGCATGGAGGGAGAGGCATTTAAAAGTGTATTGTGTGAGTAAATTATATGTAATTAATATTTGATGAGCGCTAAAAGTACCGTTTAATATGATTGCAGGAACTCGGCCCAGAAATGTTCTTGACAAGAGCATAAAAGTCCATGGAGTCATTTTTACCTGAAAGTGCAGGTGAGTTGACATGAAAGTAAAGCTGGTCCAATTTGTCTCTGTTCAGACGCCATGAGAAGCTCCCTTTGGTGTGCATCAAAGTCCATTTTTCAATGGTTTTTGTAGCACCTTGGTTCTTCCCTGACAATTTCAATCCTCCCCCGTCAAAATCCAGGCTGGAATTGGTTTGAATTGGTGGGGCAGACTCCCCTTCCACTTGCTATGTGTAAATATCATGGAGCCGACCCACTACAGCAGAGTACTTTTCCTGTTACTTTAGCTTGTGCGCCTTACGTAGACAACCCGCCCATAGTTCAAAAAACCACCACTTAAAACTCAAGTTTCTGAGGATAGGGGTGGTTTCTGACGGAACCAAAAGCAGTTTTGTGGTCCTCTGGTTCACCCCTGTCGATTCGACTACTTTTCCGTCGAAATCTGGACCGATCAATTTTCGCTAAAAACACTAAGGCTATAGCCTTTGTAAATTTGGCCAAAAATGAAAAAAAATAAAATCGCTGGAAATGGTTGGGATTGGTCCGACAGCATCCTCTTTCAATCTCCCCGTCGAAATTTCACGCCGCCGGGCCATTTTAAGTGAGTTACGCCCGTTTTTCTTGGGCGCCCCTGCAAGGTAGGCAGCCCGCTGTACGCTGCCCGCCAGATTCAAAAGACCACCCCTTAAAACTCAAGTTTCTGAGGACAGGGGTAGTTTCTGACGGAACGAAAAGTAGTTTTGTGGTCCTCTGGTTCATCCCTGTCGATTCGACTACTTTTCCGTCTTAATCCGGACCCATCAATTTTCGCTAAAAATGGGAAGGCTATAGCCTTTGTAAATTTGGCCAAAAATGAAAAAAATTAAAATCGCTGGAAATGTTTGGAATTGGTCTAGGAGAGTCACCTTTGACCTCCTCTGTCGAAATTGCGTGCTCCTGCCTCTTTTGCATCCTGTTTCTTCGACTATAAAATTGCGTCTTTGGTTTGTTGCAGGAAGATCGG